GAAGAAAATGGATGGATGGATGGATGGATATACCGCCAGAAACAGGGTTAAGTGTAAAATTGTTTGCATATTCAACCTTTTAGCTTCTGGTCCAAATACTCCAGAATGACCCTGATGACTTGGACCAAAGACAGGATCAGGGAGCCAAACGCCAGGGAACCTGTGTGGTATCTGCACCCCAGGAGCAAACAAAAGCCAAACGTGAGCATTAGAGATTCTGTTTTTAAATCACAGGCCTGCTGACCTCAACATATGCTCAGTTTGGAGAGATTAACCTCTTTTTTCTTTTAAAATCCTGCCAGACTAAAGCAATTCAAGTGTGACGCCTCCACTAAACTGCATCATATTAGTCCTAATTTACATGATATTTATCTATGCAAACAATAATAAAAAAAATCTGAATTAAAAAGGTTTTTATTCTTGCCTGAGAGCTCGTCTTAGAGAGGAGAAGATGGGGAAAGCAGGGATGTCGTCTGGCTTTTTAAAGGCCCAGTAATACGACGCAAACGCCCCTGASAGAGTAACCTGGCCCAACGCAGTCACAAAGTTTGCACACCAGAAAAAGAGGAAAACGTTGTAGAACTGAAACAGGATGAGGTATCGYTGATAGACGGTCTCGCCACCATAAAAAGCAAACAGGCACTCTGCGTCCGGACACACCGTCGAAACGTTTGACGTGTTGAACGTCTGCAGACAAAAGGCAGGTTATTGTACAGGCTAGAAAAAAAATCTAACTGAAAGGTGTCACTTTGAGGCGCACCTGGGGATCGCAGGTTTCTCGAGCGTATGGACAGTCGGAGTTGTTGAACYCTTTGTAGATCTGCTCGTTGGATGTAGACAGGAACCTGTATGGAGGTTGTCAAGGTGTCAAAGGGAGGAGTTTACCTTCGATAAGGCGGAGCTGAAACCTGTTATTGTTCAGGTTATGGCCACAGATGAATGAAAGGATACACAGCAGTGATGGCCCAGTAAGCGATCACCACAGCCAGCAGGGCAAAGGTCAGCAGAGGGTAGAACAGRGCTGACATAACGTGGCCGATTGCTCTGGTAAAYGAAACGGTGTGTTATTTTAAAGAAGGAKGAAGAACACTGAGGTTTCTTTATCCAGAAGTTACATCTTAAATGGTGAAACAAGCTGTAAACAGGACGGTTCACAAGCATTCACACTGAGATCGTTACCTCTTCCGTGTGTTTTTTGGCAACTATCTCGTTAGGCAATTTTTGTTCTATTTAAACAATTCATATATCAAAACATTCAGCTCCTTTTTTTTAGCAATGTCTCTATTTTGGACACATTTTTCCCATTGAAAATAAATGGAGCTGTTTTCAACATCCTTAAAATCCTTCCAAATGTTTCTAAAGCTTTACAGCACCTTACACCTTTTGTTCTGGTTCTGCTCTTTTTAACTTCCTTGTGCTCATTTTAGCTTATTTTTTTGTTGCTAATTTTAGTTTTTTCTGCTATTTCAGCTATAATTCAGCTACTTTCTTCTATTCTATTTTCTAC